CACAAAGCCGTAGACATTTTTTAAGTTCTGCTGCATTCAAAATTTTCCAACAACTTTTTCTACTTTATCTCCTATGTGATCTTGTTTCTCTTGTGAGATTCCTTCCATAACTATTGGTAGACTGTAGTATTAGATTTGTTACTTGTTCGGTCCATAGCAATTCATATATTTCAGAGGGAGTAAGTAGCATTTACTGGTATATCAACTTTCACGCCAGTTGAATTTCTATAAAAATGAAATTCAGGAATATCTCTCGTATTGTCGCTATTATTTTCCTCTGGAACAAATTCATCTGAACTACCGCCACTTTCAGATATTTCTGCCTCATCTGTCTCGACTTTATTCAGACGCATTCTTCAGACGATTCCATTATACAATTTTATGCAAATAGTACCTAATTCCAATAAAAGCTACTATATACATTGGCTTTCCGAAACAAACTAGCAATAAAACGTAGAAATCATGTGAAGCATAACGTATTTAGCTCCTCCTTCTTTCTCTTACTGGTGATTCTCACTAACCAAAATGCTTTATAATGGGACACCGTATTTATATGAATTGGTAAATAGGTACACTTAACGTCGGTCGCGACTGTCTTGGTTCTAACGTTCAGAATAATGTGGACGGCTATGAACGTCATGTCCCAAACAAAGATATAATTAATGACGGTCACAGCAGTCTTGTCCGCGAAAGGGTTAAGAGATCATCAGCTAAAAATGTGTATTTTAATAATATATTTTTTACTTTGAGTCTACTAATAAATGTTCATAATAGTACTTGTCGGGAAAATTAGCAAATCCTAAACTAAATATTGATTATTTTGTATTTATACCTAACTCCAGTTTACTTCCCTAAACTCCCTATACATATTTTTCTGATTACAGTATTTGTTATTTATCCAGCGCGACATAATTTTGGTAGTATTTATTTAACTATAAATAGTAAAATGACTAAACTTTCTCTATCTTATATCTAGAAATCATTCCTTTTGTCCTTTGGATCTCAAACCCCAATTATCAAAAGTAAATATAATTAAGAATATATTCAAAACAAAATAAAGCTTACCTTATCGCAAATGTCCGTAGGTTTGAGGATTACTATTTCAATCTTCTTCAAGTTCGGTTCATTTATATTTTCTATTTCTTATTAAAAGTTATTATTGAATGATTAGTATATTTAATTATAAGTTTGAACTCCATAGTTATATTTACAAAGTTTATTTCTTTAATTTGTCGAGGCTAATATTACAAGTTGTGACAGACGTACGTGTACGAGTTAATTTTCCAAAAGAAACCCAAAGAAAATCATCCGAGAGACGCACAATTGTTTTCAGAAGAAACATACGTTTTACTTAAAATCCAATGAAGAACTTCTAATTTCCAGATACTTCTAAACATTTTCAAACCACTATCAGATATATCAGACACATCCAGTAGATTTAAGATAATTTCCAAAGGCTCCGTAAGTTTCCAGAGGCTTCCAAGAACTTCCAGATCTTCTCCAACCTCCAGTGAATCGAAAAATGTCGATTTCTATAGGATTCCTCGAACAATATGCATATAGGGTGTTAAGTTAACCTTCTCTCTTAGAATGAAAAGGTAAGTGCTTAAAATTAATAAATATAATTAGGATACGAATAATATAAAGTTTAATAATATAACAATGAAATATAAATATACGATAATAAAATTAAATTACTTATTGTAAAAACGTGACAAGCCACACTATTTCAAATAATGGTATTTTTACTACACGATCATAAGTTATAAGATTACAAGCCCCGTACCAAACATACATTCTCCAACAAATCACTAGCTGAAAACTCAATTTTAGTACTTTTAGAAATTTAATGGAATATTTGAATTAATTGTTTCTCAATTAATTTTGTAACTTGCCTTATACTGCTACGCAATTTAGAATTCTACTATCTTATTCTATATCTACGCCTATTCATTATTCGTTTTATAAATGTTCAGGATTGTACATAAGTAACACTCTACTATCTGTGCGTGCTAGTTACTTATATTATAGATAAAAATAGCGAGTGACCCACAAAAAAATGTTTCTAAAGTAGGCCTTGGAAAAATTCACATATGTTGAGCATATGATTCTTCTTCTTTTCAAGTATTAGTTTGGCTTTTATTTAGAGCCCGCGCATGGTTCGTATTTCTGGCGTTGACGATCATGGCCTACTATAGAAACATGTTTCATGTATCACCACATAAATTTGTTTTATAAAATCATATTAAAAAATATAACTGACTTGAATGGAATCTAAAAGAATTATTTATTTATTTATTTATTTATTAACGTCAAACCCTATTTCAATTACAAAATACAATTTTAAAATTAATTATTACATCAAAAAATATTTATGTTGCCGTTGCAGTAGCACAAACAAAGATATAGTAGGGTCAGATTATAATTAGAAGAACACCGCAACGTCATAACCATTACTTAGAATTTCGAATACATATTATCTATAACAAAAGCAGGTTTTAATCTGTTTGTGTGAACTTTCATATGTTTTTTATTATGTAATATTGTGACGTTTACTGGAGAATTTATTTCTAATATCTGATAAGGACCTGTATAATTTTGTGTTAACTTTTTAGATTTGCCCTTTTTACTTGTTTTATATTCTGTGTCTCTAACTTTTCTATCATAATAAATTTTGTTGGTTTCCTTCGATTTTATTAAATTTTCTTTAGCGATTTTATGGGACATTTGCAATTTTAATTTAAGATCATCTAAGTAATTTTCGTAGGAATATTTAAATTCTAGGGATTGTGTTAAGGAAGTAGGTAAGTTGGGTTTATCACCGAACAAAAGTTCGTGAGGTGTGAACTTGGTTGAGGAATGTACGGTTGTATTATAAGAAAACATGGCAAATTCCAACCATTTATCCCAATCAGTTTGTTCTGTATTTATGAAATGTTTAAGATAGTCTGCTAGGGTACAATGAGATCTTTCTAAGGCTCCATTGCTTTCAGGATGATAAGCTGTGCAATTAACTCGTTTAATTTTAAAAAGTTTTGCTACATTATTAAGAAGTTCGGATGTGAAATCTCTTCCTTGATCAGTTAAAATATATTGAGGAATTCCGAATTTGCAAATAAAACGTTCCACTAATTTGGTAGCAATTGCTAAGGCTTCATGATTAGGTATAGGATAAGCTTGGGAAAATTTGGTTAAATCATCTTGTAAAGTTAAAATAAATTTGTTTCCGCTTTCAGTTAAGGTTAAAGGTCCTACTATATTTAAAAAGATTTTTTCCATTGGGTTTGTACTAGTAGTTGTGATTTCCATAGGTTTGATATTTTTTTTCCTAACTAATTTATTTTTTTTTTTGCAAGATTCGCAATGTTTGATAAAAAATTTTATAACAGTTTTCATTTTAGTCCATCTATACTTTCCTTTCATGCGGTTAGAAGTACGATGAAAACCAGAGTGACCTGCGACTGGACTTGAAGGAATTTCGTGCGGTTTCGGATTTGATAATACGTCATGGAATATTTTAACTATTATTTGAGAGTTTTGAAAAATATATCTAATCATGGATCTAATTTTTTTCCAACTTAGTTTATCATTGTAAAAGTGAATTTTTGGGATATCGATGTGCGAACAGTTTTCTTGAACTAATTTAGATTTTAAGGCTTTTAATCCATTAAAGATGGTTTCGTATGAAACATTGTCGAAATGATAATTTTTTAGAAATAAATAGTAGATATGTTTGTTATTTTTAGTCAAGCAATATAAGTCATTTATTTTAAGCATTGCTAAATCCAAATTTGATATGTTGCTGTCTATTTCAAAACCTTTTTGATATTCTTCGTTAAAATTTAAATCTAGAGATGCGAATATGCATATATTATTGTTATTGGAATTGGAAATAGGATCATTTACTTCCTCGATAGAATTATTAAGGATTATACTATTTTTAAATTTGTTTAGAAAATTTTGATATGATTCTGATTCAGAACTTTGGATTTTATTTATATTTACAGGATGTTCTGGGATTAAGGATTCTTGTGAAATTGAGTTGGTTTCAGGAATTATTCTGCTTAAACTATCAGCATTGGTATTATATTTTCCGGGTTTATAGATTATTTCGTAATCATACTCTTGCAAAGCTAATCTCCAACGAATTAAGCGAGAACCGGGGTCTTTGACATTGAAAAGCCAAGACAACGGTTTGTGGTCTGTTATTACACTAAATTTTTTGCCATACAGGTAAGGACGAAAGTGTTTCACACTCCAGACTATAGCTAAAAGTTCCTTTTCCGTAGTACTGTAATTAGATTCTGCCTTATTGAGAGTCCTACTAGCGTAGGCAATAGGTAGGTCTTCAGGAATTTTTCCTTGTTATAGTACGGAACCTATGGCATAGTTACTGGCACCTGTGGTTAAAATAAATTCTTTGGAAAATCGGGATATTGAAGAAGTGGACTAGAACAAAGCGAAGACTTTAACTTTTCAAAAGAATTTTGTTGGAGGCTTGTCCAAACAAAAGGTGCGTCTTTTCGTAAAAGTTTTGTTAGCGGTTGTGTTATTGAACTAAAATTCGAAATAAATTTTCTGTAGTAACCAGCGAGTCCTAGAAAGCTTTTGATATCTTTTGCGGTTTTCGGGATAGGAAAATTAGCAACGGCTTCGACTTTTTTCTCGTTGGGCCGAACACCATCTTCACTAATGACATGTCCTAAGTACATGACTTCCTTACGCAAAAACTCACACTTGTCTGGTTGAATTTTAAGATTGAAATCATTTAATCTTCGAAAGACTTCTTTAAGCCTTTTGATATGGTTTTCCAAATTATCTGAAAATATTACGATGTCGTCTAAATAGACAAAACATTTAATGTCTTGAATACCACTTAAAACGGTATTCATTAAACGTTGAAACGTAGATGGCGCATTTTTAAGTCCAAATGGCATCCTTCTAAATTGAAAATGACCGGTAGGAGTTGAAAATCCCGTTTTATCAGAATCTTCAGGTGCCATTTTTATTTGGTGAAAACCTAAAGTTAAATCGATTATCGTAAAATATTTAGAATGTCCTAACTGATCTAAAATGTCATTAATATTGGGGAGAAGAAACGAGTCGCAATGGTAATCTCGTTTAATTTCCTATAGTCAACCACAATTCTCCATTTTTGTACACCAGTAGCGTCCAATTTCTTTGACACTACCTAGAGGGGTGCATTCCAGGTTCAATAATGTTTTGGTCGAGCATTTTAGATATTTGTTTGTTCACTTCAGCTTTATGTACTTCTGGATAACGATAAGTTTTGCAACTAATAGGTTTATCGGAATTTGTTTTTATTTCGTGCATAATTGCATTTGTGCAAGTTAATTTGTCGCCTTCTAAATGAAATATTTGATTAAATTCTTGACAAATTTCGGTAATAGCATTTTTTTCTTCCTCGTTGAGATGCTCTAACCTAAATGAATTTGTAATTTTATTTAAGCGATCTGAATTAGAATTTTCGTTAGAATTAGAAATTTTAAAAATATTAGTGCTAGATTCAGGGTAAGAGATTGGTTCTAAATTTAAACTAATTCTATTTATTTTTACTGTTTTCTCAGATGTATTTAGAACACTGGTAATAGCATAATCATTATTCACTACTTTTACAATACTTGGACATAAATAAACACCTTCTAAAATAGTAGTATGTGGCAATAATCCTTCATTTAGTTGATTATTAGTAATTTCTACTTTCACTATAGTTTCCGACCTAGGTTTTAAATAATATACGTTAGAATTAGCATTAGGAGTTTGATTTTGAGAATTTGAAATAGAGTACTTATTTTCTACATGAAACAGAGGAATAGAAACATTTTCGAATTTTAATTGATTTTCGTTATAGTCAATATTACATTTATATCTTTTTAAAAAATCATTCCCTAAAATTCCGTCATATTGTATCGGAAATGAGTCCGGTACGACGTGAAAGGTATGAAAGATATTTTTCCCATTAATATTTATATTGAATTTGTAATAACAAAGAGTTTTTTGTGAATTAGAATTGGGAAAATCGATTCCTTTTAAAATAATTGGATTGTCTTCAAAAATTTGAGTTTCTCCTTTAAGTTTAGATAATTTAATTAAAGAAATATCTGCTCCACTATCAATTAAAAATGAATTGTTTTCATCTTTTAATTGTTCTATATTTAAGTGGATAAATGTAGTTACTGCAAAATTTACGATTGAAATTCGGCCTGCAGAAATTGCGCGTTCCTCGTCGCGGCCTGGGGACGAGGCGCTTGAAAGTTTAAATTATTAGTTCTGACTTCGCTACCTGACTGTGTATTATTACGTCTATCATTATTGTATTGTCTTTTCCGACATTCACTTATTATGTGACCTTTGTTTTTGCAATAGCTGCAAAATTTGTTATTGTTATTGAAATTATTATTAGGGTGTGCATTCTTATTAAAATCGCTAGGATTTGCCCTATGAATATTAGAATTTTGTGAAAATTGTTGATTTTCAGAAATAGTATTGGATCTTCTTGAGGAATTATGAGAATAATTATTTTGAATATGTCTAACTTGGTTAGATTTATTGAATCTGCAATTAAATGATGTGTGTCCAGGTTTATTACAATAATTGCAATGCCTGACACTTGAATTATGAATACTCTGATATTTGTAAATTTCAGTCTTTGATTTTATTTCTTGCTCTTCTTGAAGTGCAGTAGCAATAGCTTTTTCTAGAGATTGGGGCCTTTGGGATTTAACTGAAAGACTAATATCAGGTCTTAGTCCTGCAATGAACACACTGAGTGTCTGTTCTTTCAATAAACTTACACAGGCTTCCCTTGATTCTCGAGAAAGACTATTGTCTAGAGAATTTATGAGTTTAATGTAACAATTTTCTATTTTTGTGGAATAAGCCATGACTGTTTCGTTTGAATTTTGTTTACATGAGTTTAATTCGAGTTGCCACTGACCCATAGTCCTTCTTTCAGAATATGCGTCAAGCAAATATTGTTTTAGACTAGGCCAATCAGGAAAAGAGCGATTCCTAGTGATAGCTCTGGCATTGTCTGTCAATTTGGTTTCTATGATTGAAAATAATATAGGTTTGTTAACTTCTGATACAAGAGAATATGCTTTGTCAGTATTATCAATAAATTCAAACAGTTTTGCCTTATTCCCATCAAATTTTATTAACATAGAACTGGCAAGTTCCAAACTAAGCATTTTTATTTCTTTTCATAAACTTTCGGGTTTAATATCTTTTGAATCTGTTTCTTGTGAATTGGAAGAGTTAAGATTGACTTTTGACAAGTCGGGATATAACATAATTTACCTGCAGTATAACAATAAGTGCTCCGAAATGCATTTATAAGCTAGAGGTTTCTGAATCCAAGAATTCCTTTACTGTAGTTAACGGCTGTGGTTTCTTGCAGAACTGTTTAGAAATACAGCTTCCAACGGTGGTAGTGACTTCTCTGAATATTTGGTACTGTTCGGTTGGTGTAAGTGATTTCTCTGTTGTTCTTAGGAAAACTGCTTACAGTCGTTGACTTCGGGAAAGCTTGAGCGGCTAGCAATCCCACTTCTGACACCAATTTTTTGTAATGGACTTGGACACTTCTCAAAAACACTCTAGTTGAATTTACTATTATGCTTTATTGTTAACAAGTTGTGTAAATGTTTTATACAAAGAATACTTAATATTGTAAATATATTGATATGTTACAGAAATAGTAGGTCTGAACTTAGAGAGATTGAAAGTTATTCTGATTTTAGTAAATGATTCTTGTCAGAAAGAAAGCTTTATCTTGTTTGGAATAAGAATAATTAAAACTAAAGTCTATGTTGATTCTTCTGTGATTAAGTTTTTGGAAAAGTTATAATGACATTATTATCAAAGAGATAACTATGTAGTGTAAATAATTGTTATTTATTATGTTTCAAAACAAGATAATTAATGATCAATATTCCAAATTAGATTTACTTAAATATTAAAAGAAATATACAAAGTGTTGGCTAGGTACATTACACTATCAATAAATAAGGAACAAGTAAATTGTTAAGTTTAAAACAATATTTATCAAATTCCTATAATATTAGCACTCCACTAAACCCCTAGTAGGCGGCGATAACCAATTAATTACTTTGCTAAAGGATGACGGAGCTTTGTTATTCTAATTTTAATCGGACCCTACATGTCATAGACTTACAACATTAAAAATAATAAAATAAAATTTGTAAACCAAAAATCTTAGCTACTTAATTTTATTATGTAGATAGACATGGTCGCGATAAACAACTAATATCGTGAAACAAAGAATAAGGAAAAGTAGGCCTGGTGTTTACCTAACTAAATAATATTTGATCCGTAAGATTTGTATTTAATATGACAATATTGGAATAACATTACATACATAATATTTTACACTTAAAATATAAATAAAAAAACTATAGTAACCTAAATAATAATGATACACTACACACTTCTCCCCTAGAAAAGTATCAATACCCCCATCGTTCAGGTGATTTTCTAATTCTTTGAGGTATAACACCAGTAGTGGTGTAAATTATGGCTGTTACTTTCAGAGAAAACACCAACTTGATTTTTATATTTTAATTATTACTCGATAATTATAATAGGTTTAGATTCAGTGAAGGCTCGACAAACTCTGTTTTTACAATAATTTGAATTTAACATGAAAACTCTATCTTGTTTTGTAAGCTTATTTATTTTTGAAAAGATATCGAGGTTTTAGGAAATGATATTATTTATATTTACACAAGATTATTAATTAGTTTAAGTTAAATAAATTAAATGATGGAAAATAAGAAGTAAATAATAAAGTCTAATGCTCGTTTTAGTAAATTCTGTTATCATAATTATACAAAACAAGATAGTTACAAGAACAATAATATACTGGGTGGTGAGTTATTACATAGGTATATTACATTTACACAAGATATTATATTACATAGGTACATTACATTTACACAAGATATTACTTATTTATTTGGAAGATTTGATGTCTTGTTTTGGCTCTCAATAATAATGAAGGAAATTTAATATATTTAATATGTGTATAAAGTAACTGATTAGTACGAGTACATTGCAGTTATTTAACTAGTCATCAAGAACCAACGCGAAGATATATGTAGAGGACTCATTCTTTAAAACGAATGTAGTTAAAAGATTGATAGGAGACGATTCACAGGAATGAAAAATAGATTGACAGGAAAGTATTGACCGGAAATGATTAAAAGGAAAGGATTGACTGAAATTGACAGGAAAGAATTGACAGAATAGGATTAACAGGAATGGATTGCCAGGAAAGAATTGACAGGAAAGGATTGACAGGAAAAGATTGGCGGGGGTGATAAGCCCGTAAAACGCCTTTCTGTCTTCGAAAGTCATATAGTAAGATACTTTAAATTATGGGTACATTGTAATGGATCTGTTTGGGATTAAACCATAGCCCTCAGAAAGTCTAGATACCGCTTGGCGTATACTGTCAATACAAAAAAATGACCCCATTCAAGCTTGTCGCCATGTTAGGTAAATTTATGTTTTGGCTACACTGATTTTTAGTTTGTGTGTTCTGTAATACGTGAACACCGATAATCTGCACTTTGTTATTAGTTATAAGTGAGTGAGACGCACAATTTCTAATTTCAAATTAAGAACAAAACTTTGACAAACCTATTTGATTTTCCTAGATCTGTTCAGACAGGACCGGTTTTATAAAATGTCTCGTTCTTGAAATGTTATTTTTACATGGTTATATATTATTGGATAAGTGGTTTGTGTACATATTGCTATGAGAATTATAGAGAAATTTAGTGAGATTTATGTAATATAATTCAAATTACAAGTAAACCATCTGTTCCTGTTTAGCAATATGGAGAAAATACCTACTTCAATGTCAAATGTACTATTTAAAAGAATGTGATTGTTAACCGGTCATTTATTTATATTATATTATGAAAATAAAAACTTGAATTTTTTAACTAGGGAAAGATATACTTACATCGGTAACAAGGTATTTTTAGAAAAACTAATAGATTTCTCCTATTCCTATAGTTTATTTGAAAATGAATAATTGCAAAATTATATAAAAATATGGACCTTTGCCATAAAAACTGTGCTACCAAGCATTTTCAAATAAACTATAATGATAATTTGATTTAATAGAGCGAGTATAAGATCTCACCTGTTAGAGAAATTGGGGCATAGGGAAGAGATTATGAAGCAGGTAAGCGAAGTCATTGCAAAAGATAAATATATAGAAGTTATTTTAAAAATTTGATAAAAAACTAGTGGAACAAGAAATGGAGTTGTCGCTATCGGAGATCCAATCAGCAGAAAGTAAAAAAAAACTTTGGGAATGTTGGAAAAGGGCACAGCAATAGGCCCAAAACAATTCCTTGGTTTTTTAATAAATATAATCTGAGATGCAAAAAATACTGCTAGAGTGGAGAAGCAGTATTGTTCTAATGTAGAAAACCCAGGGACATACAGCAGTGCACTAACCATAGGCGAATAGTCACTAAATTATACAAGAGTCCCATCTCGATTTTATTTTTAAATATTTTTGAGAATACCTATTATTATTTGTTACATTGAGTTTAATAAAACCACAGATTTCGAATGTATTGAAAGTTATTTAAAAAGTACCTCTATAAATATATAGAAAATGTGTATATGACTAACTGGTTTTATTAATCTTTTTTTGGGGTAGGTAAATATATTTTGAAAAATTTACAAACTTCTTTTGAATTAAAGACAAAATATTTCTGTTTTTATTAACTGAACAATATTTTATACGAACATAATATATACCTATTTAATAGAAAATATTACATTTTACAAGTATCGCATATTTATATGAAATAACTAACTCAATAAGAAAGAATTAAATGAAACAAATTAATAAACAATGGATATGAAAAATTGCTATAACAATTTAATCCTTAGATAAACTTATTCTTACATATTGCTTTAATCAATTTATTTACTATAAAAGTATATTTCCTATCATTTATTACATATAATAAAATAAAGCATAAAACATACAAACTATAATATGTACCTACTTAGAACGGAACTAATATTATTGTATCAAGGTAGTAATAGTGGACATTTTCCGAATAAAAAAAAGTAAAAAAGAAGTAACGGTCGACACGTTTTTCTGACTATTGGTCTTCATCAGTACGGTGCAGTCAAGTTCAAAGGATCATGGAACTTGTGTTGGAAAAATTGTACAATAGGTCACTAACAAGGAGCCAATAACACATTTGCCGTTTCAGCTAGTATCCCCAAATTTTCTGGGCTTATACTAAAGTCACAAAATGATTCAATGGTCTTCCTATGGCTATCAGTTATTCTTTCCTAACATTTTTTGGTATGCTACAACAAAACATACAAATTATTTGATTTTGTAAATACACAAATATTTGTGAAAACTTACACATGAAATGTTATTCCTTCCTTGTATCTTCTACCGTTAGATGCATTGTAACATTCTCGTACAAAACAAAAAGAGATTTTGAAAATCCTGTAAAAATTTAACACCAAACCACAAATGTTTTTTATTATAATAAAACACTAAACGACTAAACTAAAAAATAATGTTTTAAATAAAACCTTTACTAGAAGAACAAAATAAACAACACAACAGATAATAAAATCGATTATATACGTCGAACGCCGATCTTACGCTTATTACTAAACTTGCGCCGATTCTGTCTTGTCAGTAGTGCCAACTTAAAAAATTTATTATTTATTTATCATGGCGCCCATCATATGGGGGGTCAAAATGTTTTTACGATGCGGTATCTAGACCTTCTGAGGGCTATGGATTAAACACTGCTATTGGTTTTTAACTATTTATTAAAATTTACTTAAGTACAACAACGATGACAATAATAACTGCCTTGCCAAGGGTTTGCCCTGATGTATTTATACTTTTAACATAGACAAAGATCGTTTTCTCTTAATCTTTCAAATGTTATTTATGTTTACGTTAATTAAAATATATCTACAATAGCTCAAATATTTATGAAGACATTTGTCTAGGGTTTCTCTTAACTAGGAATTAAACAATGCAAAACAAATTATGGAATTATTATAATTATAACTAAAATATCATGGATATTTATATAAACATATATTAATAGTTTCAATAAATTATAACGGATTAAGGGTATTATTACTGTAATGGACCTTTGGGCACGTCTGGATAGTGAAACACGTTCTTTCGTTTAACACTATTGATCAACTTTACATATGATTAACTGTTTTAAGTAAAAGTATTCAAATAGATATAGTAAATATAGAAGAAATAGAAAATGAGAACTTGACTTGAGGATACAGTGAATATGATGAATAATACTTAATTAATGCCCTAATATCTGTCGGTGGTTACATTTATATCTTCTTCATTTGTTTGTCGGGGTTAAAGTGTAATTACCAAAAGTTTTCTTAATAATCGGAAGATTTTTGATATCTTGAATGACAATAATGTGATACCAAAGAAGAGTAAATATTGAGGAATGATAACCTCGCAAATCAACATCTTTCTGTCTCTGATAATCAAACAATAGGATAAAATAGATGAATAACAATATACTGAGTGCTTTAAGTTATTGGTACATTACACTACATTACATATCTATAAAATACATATTACAGATCTATAGTGTTAATTAATTTAATATAGCAATATTCAACTTTGTTTGAAAAAGACAGCACATTTTCGTTATACATTTGTGTAAGGGAGTGTAATTCTAGCTGCCATTGGCCTTTTGTTGGTTTTTCGGAATATGCATCTAACAAAATTTTTTTTAACTTTATTCATTCCTAGAATGATCTACTTCTACAAATAGTCCTAGCTTTATCTGTTAATTTTGTTTCAATCATGGCTAGTAGAATGCTTCTATATTCACTTTTTACTAAAGACATGGCTTTGTCATAGTTGTCAGTGAATTCGAAAAGTTTACTTTTTGTTC